CTAAACAGGAAACAAGGTTAAACCTCTACGCCTGCTCAAAGGATTGTGGTTACAGTTGGTGGGAGATAACGCATAATCTGGCATGAAAAAAGATAGATAGATAGATAGATAGATAGATAGATAGATAGAGAGAGAGAGAGAGAGAGAGAGAGATAGAGAGATAGATAGAGAGAGAGAGAAGAGAGTTAGATAAATTGACAGAGTGTGATAGCTATGTAGATGGATAAATATAGATAGATAGATAGATAGATAGATAGATAGATAGATAGATAGGAAGAGAGAGAGAAAAAAAAAGATATATATATAGAGAGAGAAAGAGAGATAGGTAGATATATATAGAAAGATTGGTAGATAGCGAGAGAGAGAAAGATATAGATAGATAAATAGATATAGATAGATAGATAGAGAAAGATAGAGAGAGAGAGAAAGAGATAGATAAATAGATAGAGATAGATAGATAAATAGAGAGAGGGAGAGAGAGAGAGATGGGTAAGTATGTGTGTGTGTGTTTTTTCTTTTTTTTCTGGTTCTTTAACGGCTTGTCTTTAGGGAAGTAATTTACATATATGTAAAGTGGAAAGCTGGAGTGATTTTCCATTATTCAAAATGCTATTGTAATATGCAGAATCTCTTTCAGAATCCGGTGAAATATTTACAGACTCGGTATAATTATGCAAAAGATGAGATAATTTTAATTTTCAGACTTTCTCTTTTGTTGAATAGCAATGAAAAAAATATTAAAATAGTAAAATGTTTTACAAAAGAAGAAAGGGAAAATAATTTCGACGAAAATAAATTTAATATTGCTAGTTTAAAAAAAAGAATTTGAAATCTCATAATGCCGCATGTGAGCTCGCAATGGTAACGTTTATTATGTTTTCTCAGATGAGTATCAATATAAGTGTGTTTATGCATGTATTTGTGCATCATCAGAGAGTACACCTGAATATGTATGTAAACGTGAGGATGTGTAATGATTTCCTTTTATATATATATATATATATATATATATATATGTGCGATGGATAAATTGTCGTCTAAATTACACAAAAATATGAAAATAACACTGACATCTTATTTTAACAGATATATTTACCAAAATTACACAAAAAATATCTTGAAATGCGAAAGAGTAAATTTATTCAATAAAATCGCCATTGGCTTCAACCACGGCCTCCAGACGACTTCGGAATCTCCTGCAATTCTTCTGAACGGTCTTCTCGTTTCAGTTGGTGAATTATCTGCCTTCAGTTCATCTTTGGTGTTGTAAGGAGTTTTGTTGGTGGGAGTTAGGTGGCAAGATGTAAAGGATGATGTGGTCTGAGAAATTGTCTGACAGCTATGACTGGGTACTTCTGCTTGTGTAGCATGGTGCAGAATCCCGTTGCCACATATAGGGTCTGCCAGCAGCCACCCTTTTGACCCAGGGCAGAACTACCTACTCAAGGAACTTGATGTAGTCCTCCGTGTTGAGTCTGAGGCCCTGTGGGAAGATGAATGAAGGAATAACGTCACATTACGTGTGATCATTTCAAACACCATGATGTTGACTGGATATATCATCCAACTCTTTCCGAATCCTCTGCACTGATTGACACCCAAACACTCTGAAAAGTTCATATTAGAGCTTCCGGTGCGAATGCCAAGCAGTACAGAATGACTTTCGTCATGGTACTCTTTTTTTCACAGACAATGCTCAACTGATCCTACTATACTGCGCACTCAACAAAATCAAAAACAAAGCGTGGGCATGGAATAAAAAAATATAAAATGGCGATAATTTACCCATCGCACTGTATATATATATATATATATATATATATATGTGTGTGTGTGTGTGTGTGTGTGTGTGTGTGTGTGTGTGTGTGTGTGTGTGTGTGTGTATAAAAAAAGACAAGAGGACAAGGAAAAAACATTTTATCCCAACACTTTTCGTTCCTTTGGGAGCTTTATCAAGGTAAATCTTGATAAAGTTTTTCAGTGAACAAAACCAGTTGGATTTAACGTTTTCCTCCTTGTGACTTTTTCTTTTATTAATTTTGTCTTAAGAGATATATTTTATTTATATCTGCAATGTACATAATTATATCTACGTAATGATTTCTTCAATCTACACACACACAGAGACACACACACACACACACATATATATATATATATATATATATATAAAAGACAAAATTTTACAGGAAAACTAACCTTGCTGATATCGCGGTTTCACCATCTTCGGTGTCTTTAGGCAGTAAACAAAACGTTTAGAAAAGTTTAGTTTTTCTGTTAAATTTTATGTCTTAATTGGTGTGTGTTTAACTTATTTGAATTTGCATTGGACAGTTGTTATTCATATAATCGGGTTTTGGCAAATAGTTAATTTGTCGTTTTTTGGGGGGAATTATATATATATATATATATATATATATATATATATATATATATATATAATATGCGTTTGATGCTGAAATGTTTCTAACATACACACTTCCTTAAATCTTCCCTAATTTGAAGAAAGGACTTTTTGGTCTGGCCGAGAACTTTTCAGCACTATTTTGTATATACTTGTGTGTGCGCGTGTATGTGTTTGCATATGTGTTCCAACTCCGACGTGTGATGATGATTATGGAGCTTATTGAATTATTATTACTGTGATGTTGGTCATATTCTTTGTGAATGACCTATTATATTATGGCCCTCGTACCAAACTAAGGTAAGTTTATTAAACACACACTCACTCACGTGCGTGTGTGTATGCGCGCGTGTGTGTGTGCTTTGTGTGTTCGTGCGTGTGAGTTTATTATAGCTAGATCGGCGTAAAATTGTATCGTTCTGTGACTATGTAGGTATTGGTTATATATGCTTTTGCATTCGAACAATGAGTACAAGAAAAAGGCATGAAAGAGAAATTTAAATAAATCAGTGCTTTTTTTAATCAGAAAAAAATCTCTCCAAATGAAGGAGATAATTATTTTTCTTTACGAATTGAATAAACGAACGAAGAGACACGTGATTATTTTAAAGAGAGAATGATTGGTTTGAACACTTCAAAAAAGCAAACAATGGTTTTATTTTTATAGCCCAGTCTTCACTGAGTGGACAATGTCTACAGCGTAAGTATTTGACATTGCTGTGTTTGCTTCATGCGTACATGTGCGTGTGCGTGTGTGTGTACACGTGCGTCTATCCTCCTCCTCCTCCTCCGTCTACGCCTCTGCCTATTCCTTTACCTGCTCTGAATCCTATCATGTTCACCGTTCACTTTTTTCCCGCCCGATTCTTCTCTTTCCCTCTCCGTCATTACGTCTCTTACTCTCTCTATTTTCTACCAATTCTTGTTCCGACTTTTTTCCCGCTGCTTGCCATTCGCCAAAAATTGTCACCCATAGAATTTTTTTCTTTCTTCATGACTGGGTGTAATCATTTTTCCATAGACCAATATCCACCCCCCCCACCACGTCCAAAAATGGCTATAAAAAAATATTGAAAAATTTCTTGGGCTTTTTAGTTTCAATTAAGTGTAGTCTGTGTTTTATTATTTCCTAATCGCAGACATCTTTTCAGCTAAAACAAGGGAATATACCAGATTCTTCTCGAAGTGATAAAACGATTAATGAGTAAAAATATATTTTAAAATTTGACATGTCCCTACAGAAGTTATGAAGTCACGGCTCTCCACATCTTTTTTCTATACTATCTATAACTGTCATGTCCAAACCATTTGGCTTTCTGAATTTCTTGAAGAAAATAACATTTATAAAAAAAATTGTTTCGTTTCGTTCTCCTAACATAAGAACAATGATTCATCTCCCATTGAAGATAATGATTTCAACATTTTAAAGCATTGACGCTTTATACTAAGGAAGAGCATATGCGTAAACATATTTTGCTTTAGAAACAGGAAACGCTATTTTCTCTCTGGTGAAAAGATATATTTATTTTGTAGAAAAGTATCTTTGGATACTCAAATGAATAAATTATATAAAAAATCACGGACAATATCTTGTGTAGATATTATATCAAAGCTTTATTTTAATTTTAGAAATAAATCTTATACGGAAAGAAAAAATATCAACTTTTCTCCATTTTTTTATGCTGACGCATAAGGCCTTCTGTACTGAAAAGGGCCACGGCACTTTCAACGAAAAATAATCCTGAATATATCCTTATGATGAGCCAGGATCATGCGGCCCACTAGTCGTAAAACGTTGTCAATGCCCGATCTATAAACTCTGCCTTGATATGGATGGCTCTAGGGAAAGAAAATGGAGTGGTTTTCCATTGCTTTCATCACGGTTTTGTATTTCGAATTATTCTCCAAAACTCTTCGCCCTACCAAGGCTAGAGAGAAACAGTCTGTCCCACTATTTTCCGCATACCTGTGGATGTGGAGATCATAATTAATGCCTTTCCAAAGAGCAATAGTCCGAAGTGAACGCAACAGTTTCATTTGGGATTTGAATTGTTGATTTCATTTTCTGCAGCAGTAATTGTCCCGCCATTTTCACATTCATAAAAGTGACACCAGCTAAAAAAATAAAACAGAAAAACAAAAAAAAAAAACAAAAAAACAAACGGTGATCTTTTATTCATGCATCCGAAATTTTCAAACTTATCTTTTATCTTTGCTTTTAATATTTTTTTTAATCTTGAAAGTGATTTTTATTTGTCATTTAAAAATTTTTCTTTAATAAACATTCAGTATAGAGCAGAAAAGTCTTTTTTGTAATTTTGACTTAATTTATTGACATTTAATTTTATATGAAAAATCTAATTCACATTTAAAATTTAGAGGTTCATCTATTTTACATTTATAAAAGAAAATAAACGATGTATATTTTTCTAAAAAAACTTTCTGTACATACAAAAATGATTTAAATATCAGAGTACGCTTAACAAATGTTTGTCTTTAATTATGTTTCCTGGATAACAATTTACACAACAACCGTAATAATTTGGAACGCTAAAGTACAAGATCACCAAATCTTACAGTATACTAAAAGAATATAACTGAAATGATCGAATTTTATCTGCTAAGTTTTATGTAAGTACAAAAATATCTTCAGAGATATTTTAATTTCGCTACATAATTTATTTCCTATTATTAATTTTTAATTAGTACCGCTTGTTTGTTTATTTCAGTTACACTTTATCGTAACTACTTCGGCTAGTAAACAGTGAGGATTGAGGAGAGTAGGTTTTTGACCCGATTCAGTAGCGTAAACTCTTCTACAACCAATTAGTGCTTTTAGATTTGGTTGCAAAAACGCACTTGATCTGATCGGCGCTCTCGAAAAGAATTAACGAATCATCCAGCAATTTTATGTTAATTTTTAATGATACCCTTCTTTTTCTAGAGGTTGTCATGGTTGTTCCTGGCCAATAGGAAGGCACCAAATTTTAAGATGGATAGTTAGCTGGTAGGAAAGAAATGCTTAGACATACAGAGTCCTAGACTCTATGATAACCGCTTTTTGGGGCGAGGGACGAAATAGCGTAAAGATTATCGAAACCGAATCAAGTTCTTATTTCGACTGTGTCTACTTGGGAGGGAAAGGCATGAATACTATCCTCCCTCACTTTACCTCATCTTCAGATAACAATACCAAAACGGCTTCGTCACTTGCATGCTATGGCGGCTGATTTAGGAGCGAGTGAGTAAGCAATTGAATAATCACTCTCCCGTGACTAGCATAATGCTTAGGTAGTATTAACGGTAAAATATGATATACCAAAGCTAAAACACTTTTTGTTCTGTTCAAGGCTTAAATACCTTTTTATGCATGTTGTTAGTTTAGACTTCATACAGAATAACACATATGATATTGATATTGGGTCAAGGATTTTGCGAAAATATGCTTGGGGGCGAAACAAGGCAACGTTAGTACAATTATTATCGGACCTCTTCCAACTTTTATTTCAGCCTTGGACATCCATAGTTTATTATTAATATTGTTTTAGAAAATTAAAATTCTTGAAATTATGCAGAAAGAATTATTTTTACAAGATTGTTCGTAGGATGTCGGTAACCAGAAATACTCGAAAATAAACTAGATCCTTTAAAAAGTAATCCTTCCTTATTCGCAGCGGATGTCTGAAACCGCTGATGGTATCAATCTCTAGATCAGCGGTAGCCAATTTCTTTTCTCTGGGTTGCATTTTCGAAATTAAACTTTACTCGCGCCTCACCAAATTTTATGTGATAAAATGTACATATACAAAGGAAGTCCCGGTAAAAAGGCACAAATAATTCTACGGCAAAGAAAGCCCAGAGAGTGGGGTTTAAAGGGAGATAACCGCGGATTCGCAGTCAGATCATTATCATTTATAACGCTCTTCTCCAATTTGCTTGACATGATGCAAAATGGCTATTTATACTGGGACTCATGCATGCAATTGCAAGTAATCCATAATAACATATTAAATTTTGAAATCATATTTATTTTTGGCATACGATTTCCGTTTCTAAATCTTCGACTTTCTTTTCAATCCGCTTCACTTGCGCTCCTCTTCCGCTGCACGTACGAAGCGCGCCGCACCGTTTGAGAATCACTGTTCTAGATATATGTATCTTTCTACATACATATATATATATATATATATATATATATATATATTCTTAAGCACAATAACAAATGAATAACAATAAAAATAATAAAAAGAACAATTATAACAATATTATTGTGCCAGAGTTATTTCCCTTGCACTTCCCATTTATTTATGTATATAAATATATCATCTAATAATTATATTAATAATGGATGGATTAAAGATTCCTTCTTACCGTAGATCGTAGCAACCACAACACATGAATGTTTTAACGTTCACAACTACTATTAAAGGACGTACTTTGCGGTTTCTTTTTTTATATATTTGGATTATCAGCATTGACTGGAAAGCAAAGTCTTGAAAAAGATGAACACATATATATATGGTAACCATTACCATCATTGTTAACTACCTGATGAGATGCTGTTTATTAAACGTCGAAACAAAATGTACAATGTTGTAGTAGTAACTTACATATTCTAATGTAATATATTGTATCTCTAATGGATTAAATAATATTTGTGTTGGTCACACCACAAACTCGCTTTCACGGCGCTTGACTCTACATTTGAAGGATAACTCTAGCATTTTTAGACATTTAAAACAACATGCCTGCCCGCGTACTCAATTCCGGAAAATCCTTGTTGACAACACAACTATACATGAAAACAATAAACAAAAATTAAAAATTCTTGAAGCTTTTTGCATAAAACAGTTGAAACCTAACCTGAGCAAAATAAACTATGAAATCTCCATAAATATCCTTAAATGCCTATAATTTATAACAGAAGCCATTTGTTTATACCAACGGCTTCCCATACTTAATACTTCTCATTTTTCACTCTCGCGTGGTCATGTGTGACGTCACGAGCTGCGACGCGATTTTCACTTCCGCGTCTCGTATATACGATGTTTGTCGTTACTTGGAAATTTTCATGCAGCAAGGGCGGGATATCATTGTTGGTTCGTCCGTGTCTTTGATAATGGCTTGTGTAAGCCGAACGCTTAGATTGGATTTAAACATGTATCAATATGGTTTTTTCCTTTTGTCTTTCAACGATAATGTGATTATCTTATCAGACAATATGAAAGGAACTGACTTAAAATAAATAGACGAAACTTGTCTATATTATTTAAAGAAACATGCATTAATTATATATACATAAAATAAATTCTAAAGGGCCAGGAACAGGTTGTTCCTGGGTCTTTAGGATTTATTTTATTTATCCAAGCTCTACTTAGCGTATTTAAGCACTCTACCTTTTACTCGCTTGGTTTTTTTTCTTTGGACTAAAAACTTAAGGCCGATTTGTTTCGCCCTGTTCGGATATTTCTAGTTCTTTCTTTTTTCCCACTTTTTCCTCAGGTACCAATTTGTTCTGATATACTTGCAAGTTGTGCTATCTGAGGTTTTTACCAACCGAGTATTACTATATATATATATATATATATATATATATATATATATCAGGAAAACTTTGACCTCGTATAATCATTAGCAAGCTTGTCTCTCTGGAACAATTATGACTGAGTAGTGAGCTTGATCCTCATTGGGTGCTCCATACTTTCGGCCATGTACCACATCTAAGTTTCGCTTAATAAATCTCTCTCGATATATCTATATATATATACCTCGGTTCACTCTCTTCGTGCTTTATATTAATGATCTGACTATGAGTTTACTATGATCTTTTGTGAATATATATGCAGATTATACAACGGTATATAGGTTCCCCCTCCAAAAATCTTGAT